TTAGGTTACATAGGTCTCACGAGTCATGAGCAAGCTTAGTAGAGTTTTGAGGATCGGTACAAAGACATATGTATTTATTTTCAAAGACATATGTTATAAGGCTTTGAAAAACTTCACCTTTTTTCTTTCTCTATTGTGCATCTTTGTTCTATCATAAGTTTGAATCTTTTTTATTTTTTTCTCTCACAGATGGTGAGGACATGTACATCATCCGCAACTAATCAGGAACCAGAGCCCCATATTGTAGCCACTACCAGGGGTAGGGGCTAGGGCAGCAACAAAGGCAAAGGAAAGGAAGAGCTCATCCTAGAGCGCATGCAACGACCCTCAAAGTCAAGTCTCAGATAGTACATGATGATGAGATTCCAGTTCAGACCGAGCTAGTAGGACCCACTCAGGTCCTAGAGGGGTTCATTGCTACCCTAGTGCTTCAGGACGCCTTAGTCCGCATGGTTGGCTTCATGAAGAGTATGACTCAAGCCGGTGTGTTTCCTATGTTATCAACCATTTCTTAGAATGGGGGAGGAGTTTAGAATCCCTCTATACACACCCCAGCGCAGATGACCTATGGTTATTAAACACCAAGAGTGCTATTAGTTGGGGCGGTTCGGCCTATTGTTGCTACACTGCCTGGGGACAGGCCCACGATGTTAGCTGATGCGCTGAAGAGGTTGGATAGGTTCACCAAGTTATTTCCCCCTCACTTTAGCAGTGCAACGTCAGAGGATGCCCATGAATTCTTGGACAGTTGTCATGAGATTTTGCGCAACGTGGGACTAGTTGAGTCTAATGGAGTTGATTTCTAAGTCTTTTAGATACATGGTTTTGCCAAGAAGTGGTGGCAGGTTTATGATTTGGGTAGGCCAACAGGGTCACCTCCTCTTACACGAGCTCAATTTTTGTAGTTAGTTTTGGAGAAGTCTATTCCCTTCACTTAGAGAGAGGAGTTGCACATGCCACAACCAATTCAAGCGCCTTTAGCGAGGTAGTATGACCGTTACCCAATATGAGCTAGAATTGTTGATTTGTCTCGCGATGCAGCTATCCTGATCCCTACTGAGAGGGAGAAGGTGTGGAGGTTTATATAGGGTCTTACATATGGCAACATACTTCAGATGGACAGAGAGGCCGGGATTGAGATTTTTTTACTCAGGTAGTGGAAATCCTCATGAGGATTGAGCGCATTAGAGGCCAAGCAAGAGATACGACCTCTGATAAGAGGCCCCATCATTTTGGAGGATTCAGTGGTGCTTCGTTTGAAGGAGGGGGTTCCTTTGGTAGAGACCATTTTATTAGGCCGGTAAAGTTAGCACTACAGGTCACACAAGGTACATCAAGCAGCCACAATGCTTATGAACCTTGTTCTGAGTAGCTAGCATTCAGTGTACCTTCAGCTCCCATTAGTACATCACAAATTTAGAGCTAATACAGTGGCCATTTGGGTCGACATGGGCAGTCTCAGATTTAGTAGCCACACCAACTGAGGAGCTATTTTGAGTGTGGAGATATGGGTCTTATCACGAGGTATTGTCCCAGATTGCACAACAACATACCATAGCAGGTACTCGTGCCATGATTCCAGCACCGATTTCTTCACCACTCATTTAACAAGCTAGAGGTAGGGGTCAAGTAGCTCGAGGTGTGGGCCAATCAGTTAGAGTTGGAGGCCAGTTAGTGAGAGGTTGTCCCAGAGGTGGATGACAGGTTGGTGGGGGCTCATCCTCGTTGTTATGCATTTCTGGGTAGGCTTGAGGTAGAGTCGTCTAATGTAGTCATTACATGTATTATCTTAGTTTGTCATAGAGATATGCTTCTGTGTTCTTTGATCCAGGTTCTATATATTCTTATGTGTCTTCATATTTTGCTTTGCACTTGAGTATGCCTAGTGATTCTCTTGATGTTCATGTTTCGGTCTACATCGGTTGGAGATTCCATAGTAGTTGATCGAATGTACTGGTCTTGTGTTGTTACTATTAATAGTTTTGATACTATAATTGATCATTTTTTGCTAAATATGGTGGATCTTGAGGTCATTCTTTGCATGAATTGGTTATCCCCGTGTCATGCTATCTTGGATTATCATGCCAAGACGGTGACATTGTTTATGTCAAGGTTGCCTAGATTAGAGTGGAAAGGGACCCTCGGCCATTCCACTAGTAGAATGATTTTATATTTGAAGGCTCGTCGTATTGTTAGGAAGGGGTTTCTAACGTATTTGGCGTACATCCGTGAATCTAATGCGGAGGTTCCTCCTATGGATTTGGTACCGATTGTGAGGGTGTTTCTAGAAGTGTTTCCTATAGATTTTCCAGGTATGCCACCCCTCAGGGATATTGACTTTTTCATTGATTTAGTTTCGTGCACCCATCCTATTTCTATTCCACTGTACCATATGGCTCCAACCTAGTTAACAGAACTGAAGGAACAATTGCAAGATTTTCTTGACAAGGGATTCATTAGACCGAGTGTTTCACCTTAGGGTGCACCGATGTTGTTTGTTAATAAGAAGGACATATTAATGAGGATGTATATTGACTATTAGTAGAACAAGGTTACTAATAACCTTCCTAGTAATGACGATGAGTACCCACTTCCTAGGAATGACGATTTATTTGACCAGCTTCAAGGTGCCAAGGTGTTTTTCAAGATTGATTTTAGATTTGGCTACAATCAGGTGAAGATTAGGGTACGGATGTCCATAAGATAAGTTTTAGGACTCGTTATGGTCATTACAAGTTCATGTTGATGTCATTTGGTTTGCCTAATGCTCCAACGGACTTCATGGATTTGATGAACCGAGTGTTCAAGTTTTATTTGGATTATTTTGTGATTGTCTTCATTTGGTGATATTCTGGTTTAATCTCGTAGTAGATAGGAGCATGAGAAGCACCTATGGATTGTACTTCAGACTTTGAAGGATCGTCAACTATATGCCAATTTTTCAAAGTGTGAGTTTTGGTTGGACTCATTTTCCTTCTTGGGTCATGTTGTGTCTTCTGATGGTATCAAGGTCGATCCTAAGAAGATTGAGGCACTTCAAAATTGTCCTAAGCCTACTTTAGCTACTGAGATTTGGAGCTTCTTGGGTTCGACAGGCTTCTATCACCGTTCATGGAGAGATTTTCATCTATCTAAGCTCCATTGACCAAGTTGACTTAGAATGACGCTCTTTTAAGAGCTTTCAGAAGCTCAAAACTGCCTTGACTACAACCCCAGTCTTGGTGTTGCCCACAGGTTCAGAGTCTTACCCTAAGTATTGTGATGCAGTGTATTGGGCTTGGCACAGTATTGATGCAGGATGGTAGAGTGATTGCCTGCATGTCTCTTCAGTTGAAGATCCATGAGAATAACTATCTCATGCACTCATGCATGATTTGGAGTTAGCAGCCATTGTTCACACGCTAAAGATTTGGAAGCACTACTTATACGGCGTGCCAAGTGAGGTCTACACTGACCATCTAGAGTCTCTAACATCTATTTATGTAAAAGGATCTTAATTGTAGGCAGCAGAGATAGTTGGAGTTATTGAAAGACTATGATATCACTATATTGTATCATCCAGGGAAGGCTAATGTAGTGGTTGATGCCTTGAGTAGGAAGGCGGAGATCATGGGTAGCTTGGCATTTATGCCAACAATGGAGAGGCAATTGGCTATGGATGTTCAGGATTTGGCTAACAGGTTCGTGAGGTTGGATATTTCGGATCCTAGTAGGGTTCTTGCTTGTTGTGTGGAACAACTATCCTTGTTGGAGCGTATCAAGGGTCGCTAATTTGATGATCCTCACTTGTTGGTGTTGAAAGACGCGGTGTATCGGGATGGTGCTAAGAAGGTTGTGATTAGGGATGATGGTATTATACGACTTTAGGGCTGGATTTGTGTTTCAAATATTGATGGTTTGAGAGAGTTGATCCTTGAGGGGGCTCATAGCTCATGATATTCTATTCACACTGGTCTCACAAAGATATATCGTGACATGAAGTAGCATTATTAGTGGCGGAAGATGAAAAAAGACATTGTTAGACATGTCTCTCAGTGTTTGAATTGTTAGCAAGTGATGTATGAACATCAGAAACCCGGTGGTTTGACTCAGAAGTTGGTGATACCAGAGTAGAAGTGAGAGCGCATCACTATGAACTTTGTGGTAAGATTACCTCAGACTTTGAGGAAGTATGATGCTTTTTGGGTTATTGTGGACCGGTTGACCAAGTTTGCAAATTTCATTATGGTGATGACTTCCGACTCTTTAGAGCGGTTGGGTCATATTTACATCAGGGAGACTATTCACCTGCATGGTGTGCCCATTTCTATATATCAAACCATGGCATGCATTTCACTTCACACTTTTGGAAAGCCGTGCAGCGTGAGTTGGGCATGTAGGTTGAGTTGAGTACTGCGTTTAACCCTCAAACAAAAAGGTAATATGAGCGGATCATTCAGATTTTGGAGGATATGTTGATGGCATGTACTATTGATTTCAGAGTTCATTGGTACTAGTTTTACCTCTATAGAGTTTGCCTACAACAATAGATATCAGTCGAATATCCAGATGGATCCGTATGAGGCCTTATATGGGAGGTGATGTCGTTCTCCGGTTGGTTGGTTTGAGCCCGGTGAGGCTAGATTGTTGGGCATAAATTTAGTTGGTAATGCATTGGAGAAGGGGAAATTAAGTCAGGAGCGTCTTCGTACAACGTAGTCCAGGAAAAAGAGTTATGCTGATAGAAAGGTTCTTGATGTGGCTTACGTGGAGGGTGAGAAGGTTCTTGATGTGGCCTTATATGGGAGGTGATGTCGTTCTCCGGTTGGTTGGTTTGAGCCCGGTGAGGCTAGATTGTTGGGCATAAATTTAGTTGGTAATGCATTGGAGTAGGGGAAATTAAGTCAGGAGCGTCTTCGTACAACGTAGTCCAGGAAAAAGAGTTATGCTGATAGAAAGGGCGTGATGCAATTTGTGAAGAAGGCAAGTTGAGCCTGAGGTTCATTGGTGCGTTTATGATCATGGAGAGAGTTGGGGAGGTTGCTTATAGACTTGCATTGCCTTATAGCCTAGTAGGGGTACATCCTGTATTTCATGTTTTCATGCTTCAGAAGTACCATGAAGATAGGTCACATGTTTTGGACTTCAGCACGGTGCAGCTTGATGAGAATCTGACTTATGAGGAAGAGCCAATGCATGGCTATTCTAGATCGGCAGGTTCGAAAGTTGAGGTCTAAGAACATTCCTTCTGTGAAAGTGTGTTGGAGAGGTCAGCTGACTGAGGAGGCTACTTTGGAGTCTGAGTCTGACATGAGGAGTAGATATCCGCATCTTTTTACCCATCTAAGTGCATTTCGATGTCCATTCGAGGACAAACATTTCTTTTAGAGATGGAGAATGCAACGACCTAATAGGCCATTTTGTACTAGCTCCCCTTTTTATGATTATAGACCTTTCATAGCACTATTTGATGATTTATGACTTGCGCGCGCGGTCCGTGTTAATTTCTGGAAATCTTTAATGTGAATTTTTAAAATAAACTTGATTTTGAAATTTGGAAATGGCTAGAGTTGACCACAATCAACATTTTTGGTAAACGACCTTGGATTGGTGTTTTGTTAATTCTGGAAGGTTCGTATAGTGATTTTAGACTCGTGTGTATTCTTGGTTGGGGTCCCGGGTGACCCGATTCCATTTCGGCGCTTGATGTAAAATTGGAAATTTAAAATATAAACTTTTAAGTTCTTTAAGTTTTGGTCTTTGGTTATTCAATTTAGATGTTATTTTGATGATTTGATATTTCGAGCGAGTTTGTATGATGTTATTACAACGAGTTCGTATGATATTATTATACTTGTATGGATGTACGAATTGGAGCCCGGGAGGCTCAGGTAAGGTTCAAATGTGTTTTGGACTGTTTTGGCAAAGCTGGGATTTGTTGGTGCAGCAGACCTCACATTTGCGAGGGCCTATTCTCAAATGCGAGCCTCGCATTTGCGAGTTCTAGCTCGCATTTGGATGATGGACAGGGGTAGGGAAGCTTCGTATTCGCAAAGTTTTGGTCGCTTTTGCTAGCTGGTGGACTTCGTAATTGCGAGGGTTATGTTGCAATTGCGACACTAGAAAGTATGGGGGTTAGCTTTGTATTTGCGAAGCATTGTTCTCTTTTGCAAGGGGTTGGTCCTTCGCAAATGCATAGGTTTAGTCGCATTTGCCACATATGAGAGGCTCTGGCATTGTTCGCATTTGCAATCAGTAGTTCGCTATTGCGAATATCGCAATTGCGAGAGTTTGCAATTGCGTTATCTGCAGCTAGGTAAATGGTTGGGATTTCGGGACTTAACACATTTTATTTTTTCAATTTTTATTATGTTTTTCATGAATTTTTACTATTAAATATAAGATTTCATAGAGTAGAAATTGGGGTTTTGAATAGAAATTGGGGTTTTTGTAAAATTGAGATTTAGACCTCAAATTGAGCTCAAATCTCGAAACAAATCACATATTTGGACTCGAGGATGAATAAGTAATCAGGATTTGGTCTTAATTTTGAATTTCGACCACGTGGGTTGAACCTTTTTTTGACCTGCTTGACTTTCTGTTTACCTTTTCAAATATGTTAAAGATTGAANGGGGGGTTGGAGGTTTGTTCTAAAGGAAAAGCCATGTTGCATTATTGATCTTGTTTTATAAAGAGGTACGTATCGTGGTTAACCTTGATTTGAGGGAATTAAGACATGATTGATCTATTTGCAGCGTGGTTTATGTGTGAGGACGGTAATGTTACATCCCGTACTTTTCTACTGAGGATTTGTGACCATATGACCCCGTAAGTTTAACAACATTGATACCGTTAGATATATTTTGATATGGTATTTATTTTGAGCGGAATATTTATAGTAGAAAAATATTTTAAAAGTATGATTTTATATAGTTATTAATATTACTACTTTCGAAAATGCTTTAAATTATACATATAATATAAGAAAGTTTATGAGATTTTCTTTATTGTAAAGATAAAAATTATTTTCTCACAAGAAAAGAAGATTATCTTTTTACCATTTTAAGAATTAAGGGTACGAGAATTTTTACTCTTTATATGAGATTAGGAAAATTATAAGTTAAGAAAATATATGTATTTTTACATGGATGTTTTAATAAAATAATAGTGTATGTATTTATTTTTATGATACCATATGACCATGATAGTAGGGTACATAAAGTGTGTTAAAATTAAGTAGTATTTTAAGTAATTTGAAGTAATTCTTAATTATGCGGGTAAATTGGTTAATTATTGGTTAATGAGAGAATTAACAAAGTTAATTATTAATTAGTGGCTAATATTGGATTAGCCTAAACTTTCCCCATGTGGCAGCACCCCTTATGACTCTTGAGTCATTAATCTAGGTGGCAAGACTAGAGATGCTCTTTCTTTGTTTTTATTTGGAATATGTTTGATAAAGATTTGATTTTGAGCATGGGGTTTGCTTCAACTTGTAGTCGAAATGGATGTGAGGTTGATCTATGTGAAGTTGGCGGATTTTGAGTGTTGGTAAACAGTAGTCCTTGTTGGTATTGTTAACTTGTTTGGTTGATTGTGGGAACTTGAGGATTGTTTGGTTTTGACAAATGGGCAATTTGGGGATTGCATCAGAATGGTGCTGTTGAAATTGTATTTGGCTGAAATCAGTTAACATCTCTTAGAATCGTTGAACCTCTTAAGCGTTTCCTAATCAGTTGATTCATGATATTTTTGGTTTAATGATGGATATAATCCATTTTGTTCAATATGATATTCCATAGCGTCTTCAACGCTTCAAGACCCGAGATTTCAGAGCACCTTAATTAACGTGAAATTTTACAATATTAAGGGAGTACGGTGTAATCTTTCTCAAGAGAATCGACTCAGGTATGTTAAGGCTATTCCTTCATTCCTTTTGCATGATTCAAGTAACGATACGTAAATGTAATGCTATTCCATAAGTGGTTCTACTCTTAGTAGTTAAGGATGTCTATGTTATTTATTCCCGTAAAGTGATATTCAAGCATGTCTAAGTATGTATCTAGTTCCCTGTTGAGGTATTTCATAAAGATGTTAATGTTTATAATGGTATCATATGCATCATTATTTACCACCGAAATACGGCCGGTTGGGCAGTTACATATTTACCACCGAGCTACGGCCGGTCGAGCAGTTACCACCGGTTGGGTAGTTATATATTATTATTTACCATCGGTTGGGCAGTTATACATTTACCACTGAGCCACGGCCGATCGGGCAGTTACCACTGATCAGTTGGGCAGTCATGCATCGTAAATATGGATAATAGTCTCAAAGAGAAGCATTATATATATGTAAGTATGATAAGTATGCACATATGATGGCACTTCAGAGATTCAGGTTAATTTTTATGTCTTCAATTAATATTGACTTATTGTTATGTTTCAATTCTGCCTTACATACTCAGTACATTATTCGTACTGATATCCTTTTGTTGGGGATGCTGCATTCATGCATGCAGGTATAAATAATCAGATTGACGAGCTCTCATAGTAGACGAGGTTAGCATTCAGAGAAGGATCGGTAAGACTCCACCTCATTCGGAGTGCAGCCGAGTCTATAAGTCGTCGTGTCAGAGTTTTACTACATACTTATTGGTTGGCTGGTACCCTGTCCCATTTGATGTCAAATAATCTTAGAGGCTTTTAGACAAATGTTCATTTTGTACAGTATGTCAGAGGCCTTGACGGCCCATATCTATTCATGTTTTAAGAAAGATGGTCCATTGGTTTCGTGTTTGCCCACTTACAGTTGTACATTATGAGTTATGGCCATGTGAGCCCATAATAGTTACGAAAGGAATCAGTTCAGCTAACTCGACCTATGTATGTTCTAGTTTTGGTCGTATGATCATGACTTACAAAGTGGTTCGCTCGGGCCAGCACGGCACCGGGTGCCAACCACGCCTCCCAAGGTTTGGGGCATGACAGGTAATGTGAAAGGCGATGGGTGTATATACGTTATCATGGGTATAAGCGTGCGAGGTGTTCTAGCTTACTTCATGCCTTAAATTATACTATGTCTTCTCTTATTTTGTATTTTTCCTTATTATGTGCTCGTACATGTACATGTCTTACTTGACATAGACATGCTTTCACTTGTTAATTGTCTCTATTTGTTACATGCTTCAATTTACTTTATGCTATGATTTGATATATGCCTTTACAAGTTACATGCTCTTTTCTATTATTATATAATCCCTCATTTTCATATTAAATGACATACTTTCTTTATTAGTCTGTTCCAAAAGAACTACATATTTTTATATTTGGAAGCAATTTAACTTTAAACATTTTATTTTATCCACTTTATCCTTAATGAGAAGCTTTTATATTCACATAAATGCATGACCCCACAAACCTTTTACTCCTTAAGCTTTTAGAACCACATATTTGAAAAGTCTTTTTTTTTCTTAAACTTTGTGCCAAGTTAAACTACATTATCTAAATTGAAACGGAGGGAGTAAATGCCTTCATGTCCTTATGTGCCTTATTGTCTTGCTTGTCACTTGTGTTAGACTATTGTGTTATGTTATTGTAATGACCTGACCCGTCGTTTTGTTTAATTGTACCCCGTTTCCCCTTTCGATGCTTCACACATGTGTGTGCATGATTTTATGACTTACGAGGTTGGTTAGTTTTGTTCCACGAAAATTTCAGGTTCATTTGGACCCTTTGATTCTTGGCTTAGAAGCCTAAGTTAGAAATGTTGACCAAACTTTGACTTTTATGAAAACGACCCCGGAATGGTGCTTTAATGGCTCCAATAGCTTCGTATCATAATATTTGACTTGGGCGCAAGCCCAAAATTTAATTCGGAAGTCCGTAGGTTGATTTGTGTTGTTTTGCTGAAATTTGGCATTTTGAAGTTGAAAAGTTTGACCGTAGGTTGACTTTTAGTTGTTAAGTTCAGAATTTGATTTTGGGACTTGGAATATAGGTCCTTTATTCTATTTATAACTTGTCTGCAAAATTTGGTATCATTTGGAGTTGAATTGATAGGATTCAGATGCTAAGTTGCAATTCTAGCAGTTCTTGAAATTTACTTTGAAACTTATGCGTTTTAGAGTTCAATTCATAGTTTTAGATGTTATTTTTGTGTTCTGATCGCGTGAGAGAGTTTGTATGATTTTTGTAGACTTGTGTGGATGTTTAGTTTGGAGCCCCGAGGGCTCAGATGTGTTTCGGACATGTTACAAAATGTTTTGGACTAAAGAACATGATCTGGTATGCATCAGCCTCTGGTGTTGCATTTGCGAACACCAGGTTCAATTGCGAGCTTAGCTGGGGGCCTCAGGTATTGCAATTGCTGTATTCTCATGTTATTATTGTTGTTGCTATTGTATTCAGTGTTGTTGAGCCGAGGGCTATACGAGGTTGTGATATTGAAACTGTTTTCAGGAAATATTGTGGCATGTGGGCATATATTGTGAAGGTCATTTATTTGAGTTGTTATGTTTGTGGCATACGTGTTTTGTTGAGAAATTTGTTATGTGTTTGCACAAGGTTTCTGCCGTGCGGTTATTATTGTGTTGCATGAGGTTTCTGCCGTGCGGTTGTTATTGTGTTGCACGAGGTTTCTGCCATGCTGGTGTTATTATTAATATGCATGTAGTAGTATAAGGTATGAGTGTTCAAACGCATGCGGTGAGATAAGGTGGGCTTGAAACGCGTGGCTAGTAGGGGAACTACTAAAAGCCATGCAGTGTAATAAGATAGGCTAAAACGCGGGATGCTATTTCGGGAAAATAATTTTCAAAAATGCAATATAAAGGCTCCCGCGGTGATATAAGGAAAGTTGTGATTCATTTTACGATTTGAGACTACGAGGCGGTACCTCGGGAGTGCTCTTGTTGTCATTTCCCCTTTTCTGTGCACTTGTCTTTGGATGTTGTTTTCCTTGGCATAGTATTAATTGTTTTCCTCCGTGTTGCACTATTTGCTTAGTTCTATGTAGCTAATCTTGTTGTGCTGGTCACTGCTTCAAACTTCATTGCTGCTTTTATTACACTATA